AAAAAAAATTGTGTTTTGTGTACATCGATTTTTGCTATTTTCAGTATTTTGGACTCATCTTCGTCAAAATGAAAGCTTTTCAAAACAATTATTTTATCATTATCCTTAGAATTTCGACCTCTATAAACCCTGAAAGTTTCATTGAAATCCGTCACCACTTCGATATCAGGTGGTTGAATTCATGTGGAATTACCCATATATACTATAGATGGCAATGCTGATACTTTTCTGCCTTATCAGTGGTAAACTGTTAATCTGATCTAAAATTATAATTGAGTAAAATTTTTCTTTTATCTTACTTATGTCTTTGTCTATGAAGCTTTGAAAATTTTAACCATTTTCAAACTCGAATTAAGCATCTATGTATCTCTTGGGCTCAGTTCTATTTCATTTTGCACTCGTATACCTTTTGATATTCTGCTTTATTCATTTCTTCTTTATTCTGTTCTGTTTGTCCTTCATATTACTGTCCTTGATGTTTGTTAACTTTATCCTTTTTGTGTTTCTTCTCTATACATTCATGCGTTGAGTGTATGGGCATAAGATAAAATTAGTTACCATTGCATGCATTCACTGAATGTGCAAAACAGCTATATAAAGTCATATACTGCGAGGATGATAATATATGGTGAATTATTGAGTGCAGTAAGAGGATCGAATCGACCGTAATGTTTTATGAATGATCGCATTCTGTCAGCTGCTCTAAACGAGGACGAAATATCAGGAATAATTGTATACAATCATATAATCCGAGTTAAATAAAGAGTAGTAGATAAGTGCACATTGTCAATTATTCTCAATTACAATAAAGTACGGAACTTCTATTTACTCTTAATATGGCTCAAATAAAATGATAAAACAAGATTATTTACATTCTTATACAACCATTAACGATACATTCACATACAATTGTGCAGATACTATTATCATTTCAACTGATTCAAACTTTTCTACGTCGTTTCCCGTTGATAAAATTACATGATTGGAAAGTATGCGAAAAAATAAAGAGGATACACATATGAAGTTGCCCATTCTGGCCGAATACCCCGTTAATTTGTTTTTCTATTGTAAGAATAAAACATACTATCTTTCGGGTCATATGAGAGAGGGTCGTAGATAACCCTCAGATTGGCCCGAACAATACCATGTTCTATCCTTACAATAGTAGAGAGACGCTACCAGCTGATCTGCGAGCTCGTA